TCCATCTGCGTGCCGTCTCTATTCCGCCTGGCCGTCTCGGAGGCCCATCATGGCATCCTGAGAATTCCCCCCATCCCCCGATCCAGGACCTCGAATTTCGCGTCCGCCTCGGCTAGGCGATTCTTGAAAACGTTGCGATTCCGATTCTTCGCTTTCTGGTGGATTATCGACCGACGTGTATCTGTCTAAGACAGCCTTTTGCGAAAATCACTGCGGCAATTGGTGCTCCCTCCCGACCGTTTCACCTCGACGCCACGACTGCTATTCTCTTTGATCGATTGATCTTTTGCGATCCGTCGCAGCATATCGCTTTATATACATCTCTCATTCTCTTCCTTTCAGGAGCTTTATATTATATACGATTCAAAAGTGAGTGTACTGTGAAGTGCGTGCGGATTTGATGATTGCGGCCGATGCCGGCATGTCTTGTGAATTGAGGATCAAGGGTGCGCTACTGCAGGGTTGGACTGGACTCTGGATTGTCTCAGAACGAGACATCTAGGCAAGGGACTGCTGTCTTGCTTCCCCCGCAGGACAACAGTCGAAGTCCAACCTGCTGTGGGAATCTGCAGGGAACAAACTCATTGTTCGGGATTGCGCCGCTGGCGTGGATCGTCATTCGTTTGTTCCCTCATCGTTCTCTGCTTGCAGGGCCCTTGCTTTTGACTCCTTTCGCTTGCATATACAGTTACATTCGGATCATGGCGACCATGAGCGCTAATGCCACTTCTATAGAGTTTATAGAATCCTCATCGAACCGAGTCCCTCGTTACAACATTGCGCCCCGCTCCCGTACAGCTCTTCTGTCGGCCGCTCCTTTTTTTCCCTTCTACCGGACTCACGCCCGACGATCTTGGTGTCCGCATACCATATGACACCGAAGCCAGACTGGGCATCTCTTCTTTCCTTCTACCTTTCTTTCTGCCGCTTTTCCTTAGATCTTTGTGAGCCTTCTTTTTGAGCCGAGAATCTCCTGGCGATGGGCGTACCCAATCCGGCCGATACTATGGATCGTATCGAATGCTGCGCAGTATATATCGACGATCGCGTGCAAGAGGAACGATGGGTGGACCGGGATTCTTTTGGCTCGACAACCGCCACTTCCCGCAGCGACACAATTCGTGACGATGAACCTGAATCGTTGCGGACGGACGTGGCGCTTTTGTTGGAAGTGTGTAAACAAAGTATGCACTGTCCTCCGCTCCATCACTTCTACGGATGCTGATTGAATTGCAGTATACCTCTGTCATGTMGGGACATCTCTCGCCGCCAAACTCGCCGAGCTCTCTGATAGTGCCAGCAGTAAATGCACGCCTATTTTCGCTTTCTTCGACATTGAACTTGGTCGCAGCGAGGACGCCGTCCGGGATCGTCGCAAAGCCAGTCGCGCTTCGTGGCCGGACGCGGGCCCTCCATCTCCGACATCTATCCGTCGCGGATTCACCTTCTCCGCTCAATCTGACTCCTCCTACGGCTTGCAGTTGCTTTCGGGGGTATCTGCAGACATTCAAGTCTCCGAGATCCCAAACCTGGTCATACCGATTGCAGTCTTGCGCCACTCGCCCGATGAACCAACCAGCGATCCTACATCACAACCGTCTGCCACTCCCCTTTCTGATCCGCAGCAGATTTCCAAATGCGTAGATGCAGGCGCGGTCGACGTTCTCTCGACACCAATGGACAGGGCAAGAGTGCAGGGCTTGATAGTCCATGCCTATCGGGTGCACAAGTCGGCGCGCAAGGAACAATCTCGCTTCCTCGCCAGGAAAAAGTCGCGAAAACAATCGTGGGTGGGTGTGCACGATGAGCAGCCATATGCCTACTTGAGAGAGGCAATGTAAGTGCATTCCGGATAATGCGGCAGCCGCGGTGCTAATTTATTCTTCTAGGGTATCCAAACTCATGAAGGGTATTTGCAACCCCGAGGAAGTCATTGAAGAGTTCCAGGACAGGTGTGTTTGCTCTACATTCGAGTTTTTACCCACCAGCTAACGTGTAGAAGGGACCTGGATGTGACTCCAGAGCGGCAGAACGTTGTGAGGAAGTTCATCGGGAAGTGGGACTTCACTGCTCATGAATTCTCCGAAGACGAACTCGTGTTTGGGGCCTGCGAGATGCTTCAGCATGCTTTCACTCTACCCAACTTAGATGAATGGAGATTAACACCATGTAAGTGATTTGTGATGTTTGATACTCTTAAGGACTTGACTTACGCAGGACCGTTTTCTTTCGTTAGGTGAGCTTCGAACTTTCCTGCTCGCTTGCCGCGCGTCGTACAATTCATTTGTCCTCTACCATAATTTCCGACATGCCATTGATGTGCTGCAATCAGTGTTTTGCTTCCTGGTGCATATTGGTGCATTGCCCCCATATGGCTCTGTTGGTCCCACTTCTGATTCGCCGTCCTCCATTGCATCTCTCTTGACACCGTTCGACACTCTAACCCTGCTTATTTCGGCAATCGGCCACGACGTCGGTCATCCTGGAGTCAACAATTTCTTCTTGGTGAAGCTCAACGCTCCATTGGCGCAACTATACAATGATAATTCAGTCCTGGAGGCTTTCCACTGCGCTGCGTTCTCTCAGATCCTGCGGCGCCACTGGCCTGCGGCTTTCAAGGATAGACAACTCCGGAAACTGCTCATCAGTTCGATTCTGGCAACCGACATGGGCGTACATCAGAAGTTTATGGAACGGCTGGGGTCTCTGCAGGAGAAGTTCTACGCGAATGGCAAGTCTGTCGATGGCTGGAAGCCGCAGGATATTGAAATCTACAAAACGCTTGTCTGTGGCCTTTTGATCAAATGTGCTGACATCAGCAATGTGGCGCGGCCGTGGGATATCGCGGAAAAATGGACCAAGATTCTACAGGAAGAATTTGCCAATCAGGGGGAGATGGAGCGAGAGGTAGGCATGGAAACTGCTTTGTTCGGTGGTCCACCGGAGCTGGGAAACGTCTACAAGCTCGCCACCGGTCAGATCGGGTTCATGTCTATCTTCGCTCTCCCTCTCTTCGAGGGCGTTTCGGACCTTCTGCCTGAGCTGCGATTCACAGTCGAGCACATCCGGACCAACCAGACTCGCTGGCACTTTCTGGCCGACATGGAGAAACGAAAGCAGTCGTTGCTAGACCCGCGTTTCGAGGGCGGCCTTTCCCCTCGCTCGCAGAGCCCGGCCGCGAGTTTCAAAGGTCTGCGAGCACCGTTGAATGAGAGCTCTGCTAGGTCGGCGCTTGACCCTGACAACCCTGCGACGCAGCGACGCGAAGAAACCGGCGACTACTTTGGGACGATTGAATCATCTCCGAGTGATTACAATGAGAACACCATCAGTCCTGTCGTATCGCCAGACACCCCAGGCCCATCGATGGATATCACAGGCAGTCCGATACCATTCTTATCTCCTCGAAAATCCTCCACTGCGCTTCCTGACCTCGCGATGATCTCGGTATCCGGCACGTCTCCTGAGACGAATGGACCGGAGCCAGCTGGAGATTTCGAAGGGCAACCTGGCCAAAGTGCCCGGCGCTCTTCGAGGGACGCTGTTCCCGCCGCCGTCATCTTTGCCAACATGTCCGATGACCCGAATCGCTCCAATTCCCAACACACCAGTGGTGAATCCACTGAAAGAGAAGTAGAGCGACCGAGCAGTTCTCGGCAGGGACCGCAGGGGCACCGTCGCCATCACGCCAACACCAACTCGACCGGACGCGGCTCAGGCGCACCGAACTCGCAGCGTAACAGTTGCACGCGCACGCACAGCTTGAGCACATATAGTAATACCATGACGCCCATTTCTCCGGCCACCAATGCCACCAGTTTCGTCACTGTCGACAGCGGGGACGAAAAGGGCCATTCCCGGGAACACATCAGAGATGAGCATGACGAGTCGGACGGTGCACGGCCCGGTTCATCGAAACAGTACTCCGCCGGTGAAGGGCCGTCCGAGGGTGACACCCATTTCAGCGATACCAACACCTCTCATTCACACATGGATGACGGGAGCAAGAGTCCCATCGCCACTTCCGTAGTGGGGAACGGGTCCAACAGCCCCGCGCATTCTACAACGACAACACCGAGCGTCAAGAATGAGGGGCATCCCCCTTGGGATGACCCAACGGCCGGTGAGCAGCCTCCACGCAAGCTGCCGAAACGGCGGAGTCGCCTTCGCTTGGCGTTCTGGAAGCGCAAACCGCATCATTCGCATAACCATGAGCTGAGCGGGGAGACTTGAGCTTTCCTTTTCCTCTCGCTTCACCTTCTCCTGGCCTAATCTTGCTTTCTTGGTGATTTTGTTTCAAGGTGTTTGGCTCCTGGCGATACATGGTTGGATCCTAAATGGAGGAATGACGAAGGACTCACGAATGGTATATCCGCTGACGAACTTGTGCTTACGATGGATTGCATGATTCTACGACTAGGCTTGGACGCTCGGTCAGCTCTACACTCGGTCATACATGCATTTATTCGATGGTCAGGCAATGTGCTCCTTGCCGTCCTCGCTTTAGTAGTGCCGAGTGACTTGGAAGTGCCCCTTCCGGCTATCAAGTCTCATTCCTTCTTTGCTACTTTTCTTCACCATCTATATTCTTTCCTTTCTCATTTACTTCCTTATTTGCTATATTTTCTGTGGGCAATCATGATTGATTCCCAATGATGCAACGCAGACCGGTTGGGATCAGGAAATCAAATTAGAAACGGGGCGTGGGTTGGCGTTTGGAGGATCCAGAGTTCTTCCCATGCGTGGACTGAACTGTATCATTTCTTGTTTTTGAGACATTCTCTTCGATTTCTTTTTTTGCTATTGTTGATTCATATCACCATATCACGATTCCTATCGACACGGTTAGCCAACCTGCTGTTCACTTATCATGCTAGATTCGGCGAGTCTCGTTCAAAGTATTGATGTCCATCTGCTGTCTTGTCATTCTCACAAGCTCAAGATTGATCTTGATATATAGATTTGAATATAGGACTTCGTCTATCATATCGGTAGCACCTCTAAGCCTGGCAATCCTCACACTTTTCCGTTTCCTTCTCTTGACTCTGTTTTTGATTACCCCCGTTCTCCTGCCTCAAGGCCCGATCCGTATGCCCCAAATCCCTCTGCGGATCAACCACATTCCTCACCCGGCTTTTGAGCACCTTGACCTCTATCCAGCATCAGCCCGTGGTAACCAAAAGAAGCCACATCCCCATTTTCCCTAAAAGAAGGAAAGAAAGAAAGTAACATACCAGGAAACCCCCCATCAACCCTCCGATCCCAGAGCACACTCTCCCGCACCCCCGTCTCAGACGCAGACGCAGACGTAATACTCACGATGAACGTACCCCCCGTACACGGCACGAGAGCTACCTCGCCAAGGCTCGTCGAGAACGTAGAGAGGAGTTCCTGGGCGAACTTTCCGCAATCACGTTAGCAATAGCAATGGCATTTGTCCTGATCGTGTCCTGATACTGATCCTGGTGGAACGAGGGGAAAGGGCAGCGGACGTACATAAGCGGCTCGGAGCATCCATTTACATTGCGTGCAGTATTTGATGGTGATTCGGGGGAGGTTTGTGGTTGTGGTTGCTGTTGTGGTGGTGGTGGGGGGATTTGTATTTGTGCTTGAGGTCGAGGTTGGTGGGTGTTGTTCGATTGGGGGGGTTGGTTCGGTCATTTTCAGTTTCACTAGGGTATGTTCACTACCAGGGATCGCGTAGGTGATCTCTGTATAGTCGACTACGTGGTTATTTGGGTTATTGACTGGAGGGCTGGTGAGAGGAGATGGTGGTGAGGTGGTTGATGATGTCAGCGAGTGGGCGGCTTTCTGAAGGTCGGGCTTGGTTTATATCGGATGGTTAAGATGAAATACTGTAGTGGGATGCGACTAGGCATTAGACTGGTAAGGTAAGACATTGATTGCTGTATTAGAGCTGGAAACCAGCGATTTCTACTTTACAAGATGCTGGGACTTAGCTCTCAGCCTCCACAGCCGAGGAATGTGCTTTTCGAACCCATGAAACACCATCCGTACCAATCACTCACTCACTGCAGACAAAGGAAATATGGCAGAATCACAATCACACGAATTCGGAGACGACGAAGACCAACGTAGATAGATGAGGAAGTTTTAGAAGAGAGAAATTAGAGAATATAGAAGAGAAGAAGACAAAGTCGAGTCGGCGCATCCTCAAGTGCACCACAGATAGCTGGACGCTGAGATCAATGATCATCCCTGGGACGATGTAATGCGATGCGACGCATGCTTTGTTCAGTGGTCGGCCTCCCGGAATCTCTGCAAGACCAGCACGCGTTCCTCCAGTCGACCCGTCATAGCCGAACAATTGCCCACAGACACAGCCGTCACGATTACTAGGTTTCATTGTTCGATGGATGAGGTGTTTTTCAGTTATCGTCGTGATGATAGAAGCGGGAAGCCATGTCGAATCCCGAGAGTCCAAAGATAATGTCAAAAGTATTAGGCGAAAGGAAGAGAAATGGGGCGGGAAATCATGCGGATAGGGAATAGAAAGTCGCGAACAACAGCTTCAAAATCAAGTCGAGCCGTCTTCGATTTCGGAAAAGAACATTCAGTGTCATGACACCATTACATGACCGTGCAGCAACCTCCCTGTTGTTGAGGAGCATACGGATCCTCGCGCTTATCAACCTGGGTTTGTGTCAGCACTCCGCCTCCTGATCACTTTCCTTCATATCGAGGTAAATCGCATCGCATACCTGGCCCCATACAGATGGTACCATAAAATCACGAGTATTGTTGCAGTAGTTGATCAACCTGGTCAGAGAACGGTTTGTGAGTATTCGGGTCAAGTCTGGACGGCGGTCGGCAACTGGGTCACAACGATCCCATCGCTCATCATAGAGATGAATCGACAGAGACGATGACGGTTGCAAAGGCAATTGGAATCGGACACTTACGACATGGCAGCCTCGGACACCTTCACTCGAGGACGATCCAGATCCTCCTTTAAGCGAGCATTGAGCTCTGTCAAGCGACGATATTTAAGATCAGCCACACTCTGCTTCTTGTTCTTGACATCTCCCCCCGATCGCAGCTCGTAGGCAGGCATTTTCGTTTCCGATTTGCGTGATCACCAAGAGCCGACGAAGTGAAAGGACAATTGTAGACAATTCCCTACACGCGACAACGGGGTAGGGAGACCGTGGCGAGTTGCTGAGCCCTAGTGGATAGGTAGACTGGGTTGAGGAGAAGCTTTGGCGCGCTGAACCGGGAGAGTAAGGGGAATCCGGAAAAAGCGGGCGGAGTGACCACAAAAAAGGGAGGGGATTACTGGACAGTCAACAGTCGACACAGAAAGAGCGAGGGGGCCGAGAGGATCAGCGGTAGGAAACGAACGGATTTAGTGGGGAAATTAAGGAAAGGAAAATAAAAAGAAAAGATCAGAGGAAGAGTAGTAGAGTATCAGAAGAAGAAGAAGGACGACGAAGAAATGGAGGGAGAAATGAGACCCTACTATTGGAGAGGGAGCGACGGGGGAGGAGCTATTACTAGCAGTCTAGCACGAGCAGCACAAACACCAGAGGAGAATAGATAAATAATAACTACTAATAATGAAAAGGTCAAGCCAAGTCCACTCTCGCAGGAACCGACAGTTTCCGACTGTGGGAAAAAAGCGATTAGACTGATGGTACTGACTCCAAAGTAGATAGTGAAACCCCCTGAGAGCAATGGTGCGGTGCTACGGACGATGGTCTTATTTAAACTTTGAACAATCTGGACGGATGGGGCTTAATCTTGGGGGTTTTCTTTTGGTGAAAGCGACGGTATCAGAGAGACTGGACATTCGAGGCTCCTTGAAACAGATTGAGAATGAGTATCATCTTAAGTCTACATATATCCATCTACGATTTGATGCTTCTCGATGTGTGGAATCTCCATGTTGAAGTATCTCACGTGGACCCCTCATCAGCAGCTGGAATGTAAGAATGTATCAGACTGTCCCAAACTTACCTTACAATACACTCCGTACCTTAGGTTGGTACCTATCTGACGTACAGTATTTAATCACGTGATCTGGACGCATCTCAGCTGGAGGCGTCTACTTTGCATTTCAACGATGCACATGTTGATTGGCTCTAGAGATTGATCGGGGAATGCGAAGAAGAGTAGATTCGAAGTTTCAATACATATTGTAATCTGTATCTAGTAGAAGCTGATATCTCATACGATCATCCAGGTCGCTCTCGGTCCACAAGCAGTTCACGAGCCAGTCGACTCGTCAGTAGCGATTCGAGGGAAACCAGGACGAGCCTAGCAAAGAAGCCAATTATTTCACCTATGGGTTGGTATTCAAATCATCCAAGATGAGCATCTTCAACATATTATGTACGATTCTATGATTACTCGAGGGCGTCGACCTTTCTATTGTCTTTTCGATCACGTGATCTACGGTCGCTTATCCCAAAGTGGGAACGCCAGTTGGACCTGTTTTTTTCGTGATTCTCCCACAACGACGCATCGCCGCCGCCCTCACTTTCTTTCTGGCCGACCGTCGCGTGGCAGCATCATCAAGAAAAGGGCCTTTTTTACACTGTCGAACAGTGCTGCCCGCCCGTCGTTGTGCGATTTGACGATTTTCCACTCGAAATCTCTCCAGCCTCGATCCGAGAAGCCTCTCTGTGTCAACGATTTTCACCGGTGTCATCTTTAAAACCCACAGGGTCTATCGCCCACCATGCCGCCTCCACCCCATATCAAGCCGGAAAATGTCCTGAAAGTGAGTAGTGATCATGGAAAATAGCATCGGTAGGATTCTACTATTCAGAGACTGGTAACTGACCTCGTGATTCTCTCACTGCAGCGGGCTCAGGAACTTATCGCCGTGGGCCAGGCTCCCGCCGCCCTCAATGTCCTCCACGAACATGTCACCTCTAAGAGGACGCGCAGCAGTCCGATCGCCTCTCTGGAACCTGTCATGCTCCTTTTCGTTGAATTGTGTGTCGATCTTCGCAAAGGAAAGGCTGCCAAGGATGGTCTCTACCAATACAAAAACATCGCCCAGAACACCAATGTGGGAACCATCGAGGTAGGCAAAGGAACTTTGATTTGTGATATGATTTGCAGGGGCTGATATATGTGCTGCGAATAGGTCGTCCTCAAGAAGTTCATCGAACTCGCCGAGAAGAAGGTGACCGAGGCCCAGGCCAAAGCCGACGAAATCCAGTCCTCTCTGGAGTCCGCTGCCCCATCGTCCAACGTCGAGGATCTTGAAGCGATCGAGACCCCCGAGACCATCTTGCTCGCTACTGTTTCTGGCGAACAATCCCGCGACCGAACCGACCGCGCTGTCGTCACTCCATGGCTCAAGTTCCTCTGGGAGACCTACCGTACCGTCCTGGAGATCTTGAAGAACAATGCTCGCCTTGAGGTCATGTATCAGACCACCGCCCTGCAGGCCTTCCAGTTTTGCCTCAAGTACACCCGCAAGACCGAGTTCCGCCGTCTTTGCGAGCTGCTCCGTAACCACGTCCAGAACGCCGCCAAGTACTCTGCTCAGATGCACGCTATCAACCTCAGCGATCCCGACACTCTGCAGCGCCACCTGGATACGCGTTTCCAGCAGCTGAATGTTGCTGTGGAGCTGGAGCTGTGGCAGGAGGCCTTCCGCAGCATTGAGGACATTCACACTCTCCTCAGCCTTAGCAAGCGCCCCGCCAAGAACGTCATGATGGCCAATTACTACGAGAAGCTTGCACGGATCTTCCTCGTCAGCGAGAACTACCTTTTCCATGCTGCCGCCTGGAACCGCTACTACAACCTTCTCCGCCAGTCCGCCGCGGCTCTCGCTGCCGGCCAGGGCACCAAGAAGGAGAACCCCTCGGTGACTGAGGCTGACATGACCAAGGCCGCCTCTTTTGTCCTTCTGTCTGCTTTGTCGATCCCCGTCATCAGCACCTCTCGCTCTCGAGGCGCCTTGGTTGATGTCGATGAGGTCCGCAAGAACAAGAATACTCGCCTGACCAACCTGCTCGGTATGGCTCAGCCACCCAGCCGTGCGGTGCTCTTCCGGGATGCCCTGAACAAGGGCCTGCTCAAGCGTGCTCGTCCTGAAATCCGGGATCTCTACAACATCTTGGAGGTTGACTTCCACCCTCTCTCCATCTGCAAGAAGATCACCCCTATCCTCAAGCAGATCGGTGCCGATCCCGAGATGGAGAAGTACGTCCTGCCCCTGCAGCAGGTCATCCTCACCCGTCTCTTCCAGCAGCTGTCCCAGGTTTACGAGTCCGTCGAACTCAAGTTTGTCTACGAGCTTGCACAGTTTCCCGACCCCTTCCAGATCACACCGTCCATGATCGAGAAGTTCATCATGAACGGATGCAAGAAGGGCGATCTCGCTATCCGCGTCGACCACACCTCGGGTGTTCTGACCTTCGACACCGATATCTTTTCTTCCGCCAAGGCTCTGCATCCCGGCAGCGCCGCCGGTTCCGCCGAGAGCGAGGTCGGCTCGGTGCAGCGTCTTCAGAACACCCCTGCTGAAATCGCCCGCCTTCAGCTCACCCGTCTCGCCAAGACCCTCCACGTTACTTGCATGTACGTCGATCCTTCTTATAACGAGGCCCGTATCCAGGCCAAGAAGGCCGCCCAGGCCCGCGCTGAGGCTGGTGCCGCCAAGGAGCACGAGGAGACCC